TGCCGAGCGTGGCAAAGAGTGCCGCATCGGCTGCTAATTGAGCTACAGAGTAAAGAATGTTGACAACCTGCTGTCGGTGATGCCTGTTACTGCTACCACCAAAGTTCTCAACTTTCCCACTGTTTTCTCCCTGCAAGTCATCATCATCACCCAAACCATCTGTCGTCGTACAGTTCACTGCATTCTTCACGCCTTTCACCACCAGCAGCAGTGACAGTAATCAGCGAGCAGCTGCCGATGACAGCTCTCTCCGCTTCTGCTGAAGATAACGTCATCATCACCACCTGCTCTTGAGCTGTGAATCACCACCACCACCAGACAGTCAGTCAGTGCAATACTATGGTCTGGAGTCCGGCCAACAAGTTTGGCATTGGTATGTTCGGTTCGGTTTCTTCAACCCTTCAAGACAAAACTAATCGTTTCTTCTTTCAGCCATTTGGAACTACATCCCAAGTGAAGATGAACTTCGACAGGAGGGCCACCACCGTCTGCAGCTGCTCATCGGCGAGCCGGTGCACATCAGCCGCCAGTCGGAGCACTGGTACTACGGCCACAGTCTGGTCGAGGATCGAAGCGATGATGAGGCCTTTGGCATCTTCCCAAGGGCCTTTACCTCCACGCAAGAGTACCGAATAACCAGCGTACGCTCGGCCAGGTAAGTTGAACTTCGAACTTTTTGAAATTATTGGAAAACTAAAACCTCCTCAAAACAGAAGCTCTGAGGTGGTGTACAAGTACTCCTTCGAGCAGGAGGTCATCTTTACGCTGCGCGAGTGGGGCAAGAAGCTGAAGCGGATGTACATTGTAAGTTGCCATTGAATCTTAAAGCTTTAAAAGCTCAAATCAACTTCTTGAACTTCAGAACAACGACGTGCACAACTTCAACAGCGCCAAGGAGCTGATCACCGAGGTGATCGCCGCCTTTCAGCGTGTCAAGTCGGGCAAGGTGACCAGCGACGAGGAGAAGAGCGTCAAGATTGAGATCTGCGAGAAGCTGGACATGGGCAACAAG